CTGTGTGGAGAATTCAGGGCTGAGAGATCATTCGATTGTTGCTGTTTTTTCCGAGATATAGGATGTACATAGGTTATGCCGTGAGAATATGCGGGACCCGTAAGTCTACAGCAAGCACCGTCTGTTGCCCTCCGTGATGGTATCTACGGAGGGGCCAAATCAGGTATTGAAAATACACACGAGAAAAAAAAAGGTCCGTCTTGGCACCGGGAAAGGCTTGATGGCTGAATTCAAGCGTTGAAGCGCGAGTGGAGCGTTGAAGCAAGCGAGGTCTTGAACATCCATCCCCACACAGGGCTAGCGAGTAGACCACCGAGGGAAGGGACCTCAGATGGCCTTTCCACTCAACAGTAGGTACTCACCTACCACAACAAGTCTAGGCCCCGCAAACAAACTGCCCATCCAAGTAACGATTCCTACTAACTAATTCTATTTCCACTGCCAGAACGGCCAACCACGTTTCTGCCCGGGTGATCCTGTCATTTACTTAGTTTACAGCATGCTAGCCCTGTTAATTAGTTGGCTGTAGAGCAGAAAGACTTGTTTGTTTGCCATGCTGGCCTAGCTATGCCCTCCTGCCTGCCATGCCTCGGCCCCACTGCACCTAACCCTGACAAACGCGCTGTCCTGGCCAACCCTACCCCACAGCCAAACCCCGATGCCCATTGGCTGTCTAGGCCTACTCAACAATTGGGAACGCTTCCGCGCCGAGTTTGAAACGCGGCGGGTACAGCATAATTATAACACACACACATCAGCCTCATAATGCCGGGCTTGGTAGCTGGCAGCAATTAAGAACACAGGGTACAGTAGGTACGGAGAGTAGAGTAAAGTAATAGAGCGATAGCTAGGGGGATATGATGAAATGCACTTCGCAACGTTTACTTTTCGTTCCGATTGCGACCAGACCAGAGCTGAGCGCATAGTGGACGAGTGGGATCTTGACTGCAGATGGAGGGATAGATATGGATAGGGATGTATATATGGTGATGATGATGATGTATGTATTATTTTGCAATGACCAGTTGCTGGTCCGAGAGGACCTTGTCGAGTGATGATTATGGAGACTTGATGGCCCTTTTCGGCGTTAAGGCAACCGGGCTTCGAGAATTGGTGGATGTGGATAGATATGGTCATGCAGTAGGATAGAGTAGAGACGAAGGCACAAGGAAGAAGGCCCGCGCAGGGAAGGCAGCCAGGCAGCCCGTTTGCAAATGCACGGATGCTGTGGTTCCGAGCTGGGCCCTGGGGTGATAATAATATTGATTTTAATGGGGACTGGCCCCAACCGAAAGACCGGCCGGCCGACCGACCGGGGAGGGCGTGGAGGGAGTGGAGAGTAGAGTAGTAGGGGTGTAGGGGAAGGGACAGATCTACATAGAGGTGAGAGACAAACATCCATAGAGCATATCGAGCATATCTGCAGTTCCTCTCTCACACCCACAAATCAGTCCGTCATGTGACATCTTACCATTTTCAACGTGTTTATGTAATCATAAACATGTTTGAGAGACATGGCAAAGTTTAAAATCGATCCCAACGCTATGGCCAACCACGGGCCCCTCGCAGAAACACACACCTTGCCTGATCCCGGGGCAGACAGGTATCACGAATATTGCACATATCCTTGTACATGTTCACGCGGGTTTAGAACGGACCCAGCACTGAGCTGACTTGGGGGGAACAAACATGGCTCGACTCGCGAATGGACGCGGATCTGGAGACTCTGCTGCCCCTGCAGCGAGATTGAGTTTAAGGTAGATTACATGCGGGCCCTATATTTGGGTGCGGAAACGAGAATGCACACGTGATGGCCGACTCATGGAATACATGGTCGAATCACGGGGGACGAGGCGGCAAGAAACTCTCCGATACGTGGACCGCGGGGAGTAAGCTGGCCCCAGGGGAGAGCTTACGAGGATGCCTTTGTGCTGCTAGGGACGGGTACGGACTCCTGAGGACTATATATGAGAGCCCTGGAACTGGGGTATGGGGTTGGATCATGGGGTGTCACTCGGGAATGGGAAAAGATCGTCGGTGCGCTGTAAACGTGCAACTGGCGGCTTGGATTGCGAAAGGGCTGAGAGATGGGATGTAATAATAATTTGACTGGGATATATCGCATTCGCTTCTACGTGTATTTTGACACGAAAGACAAAATCTCCGCGGGACGGCCTCAATGCACCCTAAAAACGAAACCTGGAGACCAACCACAGCCGGGTCGGCACCACGAAAACCAGTCCCGGCACCGCCACCTAGAATTCTAGGCCAAAAGCCCAAGACTTTCTAACATATCGGTGTCCCTCCGGCCCCCAAACGAGATGAAAATTTATTTGCGACGTCAGCAATGTCTGTGTTATCAATACCTAGGTCAACAAAGTAGTTCCAAGACCAACACGTCGTTTGATCATGCGCAGGTTCTGGTATCTAGTGGATGGACTGGAATGGTCATTGATTTCGGTTGTCTTGACTGGTCCGCGTTTAGTTTTTTGTTCTTGTTTGTGGTCAGGGCCAAATCAAAATTGTAGAAACCTCGCGTGGGCATTCGCCTCGTTGTTTATACGTCATACCTTTTACCGCGCGCCCTGTATATAATAAAAAAGTAAAAGTGGGAGATTGAATAGCGTAGATTGAACAGCGCCGTGAATTGGAGAGGAATAGAAGTAAACAGAACATTCACTTAAAACACACTCAAGCACACGGCGACCGCATCATCACCATTTGTACTCAGTGTCAATGATTAAAATGTGCTTACTATTGACTCTTGGCGTTGTTCTACACCTAGCATCCTCCCTTTCCACTATATCAGGACCATCAGAAGCTACCTCATAGTCCACGTATTCTACTATCCCCCACAAAGAAGTAATATGTGAACCACACCTGAAAATCCCCAAAATTTACAGATATGCATCTAGTGATCTACCACCACCAAGAGTTTGGGCGTGCCAAGGCGCCGATCAGCATTACCTGTTGTCAATGATCGTGGGCGCCGGAATATGTAGACCTGCTTAGTCAATCTGTCCTCAATAGTATATGGCCACGTGACTGATGTCTAAATTCGAATCTAAACGCGGTTTTTTTTTTTTTTTTTTTTTTAATTCATTAATTGAATCTAAACGCGAGGTGCTATATGTATTAATTCTGTCGACAGTTTCCAAATACAATGTCTAGCCTGTATGGCCGTATTTGGAGGTCGGGGATCAAGACCTTGCGAGATGAAAATTCTCGGTCGGCCCATCGTAATTAAAACGAATCAGGAACTATGTTCATATTCTGGCTGTAATGAATGATCGGAGTAGTACAATTATACAATCAACAAGGAAAGAATAACGGGTGGGAATAATCATGATATTGATAAGTTTGAAGACTGCAAGGGTGATGGATATTGTGGCCGGAGTGCTCGACCTTTTTGTTTTGTCAGCGAGCATAGATGGGCCCTTTGCAGTGGTATGGCCGAAGAATGTAGGGAAAGCACTGCCGGGGTTATTATTCGGCAGAAGTGGCCCGGCATCGGTGTAGAGCGGTGAACGTAGTTCAGAGTACGAAGGTCGACCTTTGATATCGGTGTAATATTGAGAAATTTCATTCTTGTTGGGGTAAATATTTGATATAAATGATAAAATGTTGTTCGGAATGCCTCTCATTAGACCAGCCAATGTTTCAGGTGGACTCGACCGCCCCAGCCGGACGAGGGAGAGTGAGGAAATAGGCCGGCGGGTTGGGCTCTTGAAACTTGAGGCGTCATCCAGCGAAAGGTGCCGCCCGGCCCGGATCCTACTGTTTCATGTTTCGACTCAACCCAAAACACCCACAGGCCTGACCCAATTCGGACATTGAGTGACATGCCTAGCCAGCCCAAAGCCCAAGGGCCATTCTCATCCTCGTCTTGCCTTAGATTACGAATTGATTGCCCAATCAGGGTTTCGTGGAATACTAGCGGTGGTTTAAGAAACTGGGTGGCGAAGCATACAGACTGTGTTATGGTGAGCGTTCATGAACGGGCTGGGTTTATCAATGGCTCAGCGAAAAGATTTATCGTTGGTTTGGCGCGGGGGGGGGGGGGGGAGGGTTGAATAACGAGATAATGCCACTGGCCTACGCCAAATCATTGAATGGACAGAGCCCCCGCCATTGCTCAGGCGAGACATTAAGTGCAGTATATCCTAAGTTAAAGGTCAACGATCTGAAGTACACGTCAGGCTCAGGAGGGTGAAGTTCATTTAGCCTTCATTGGGCTTGGATGAAAAAACTAGATATGTACAAAATTACTTACACACGAATGAAACCCTAACCCACCCAAGAATGATGGAACCGTGGTTCCCGTTTGGAAAAAGTTTTAAGCGGAGAAATCGGTTTTGAGGCCATGTTAATTCCCAATCCCGAAGGCAATTGGGGGGACAAGAGGCCAAGAAGAGATTGTGAACCTCAGTTGCAATTGTCACTACAGCAAACAGGAGAAAAGGTTTGCGCACTAGGGTGGTCCATGAGGACGCTCGAGGTTCGGTTCGAGGGTGTTCTCGAGGCATCTCGCCCTCGTTGACCCCTATCCTTGTCTGTTCTCGAGGTCTGGCGCTGTTGTACTCGAGGTAGATAAAGCAATGACACGGTAAACCAGAAAAAGCGATATTCATATCTTTAACATTTTTACTAAGTTGATAAGTCTTAATTTAGAAGCTTGCCAATATTTCGACTTGGCCTTTCTAGAGAAACGGATACATTAAGGACTCGGAGATGAACAGAAAGAGAATATTTGGGGCGGCTAAGGGGAAGGATTGATCAGGCAGCGGTACTCTCTATCGCCAGAGCAGTGCTCCCTTAATCAGACTCCATTAATTATAAGCCTATCTAACTATTGAAAAAATTTCGAGACTTATGTTTCGTAATTGAGATACATAAATTGCCATGATATTAATTACACAAAACAAGCACAAACAATAAACAATTCCATCTCTGCGATCTGCCCAAACGCATTTTGGCCAGAATTTTTCTTTTTTTATAAACTACTGATAAACGGTTGCCGTGACAGTAACGCAGGTACCGGCCGTCGTTGTCGGTGTCGAAGCCGCCGTCGTGGTAGTCGTGAGAGTAACCCCCCTATCTACACTGTTAGTGCTTGTTGTTCTCACTCGGACCGAGGGTACTCACGAGACAAGAACCTCCGGCTGTCCATTCGACACGTTGACACAAATGTTTCCGCTGGAGCCAGCAGTGTAAGTCGCAGTTCCCAAAGCACTGGTGAAGACAGTTCCGCTGGCGACGCCGGTGTTGAAACAGTGCTGGCCGCTGGTGCCACTTCCGTTGTTGGTGGTCAAAACAACGACTTTCCCGCCGGCACGGCTGAAAGCGTATGCGTTTGCAGTAACATACAGATGGACGTGATCGTTCGCTCCAAGACCACCAGCAGCCTTCTTCGCGGCCATGAGCTTCGCGGTGAAGGTGTACAAGTCGTGGGTGGTGCTGTATCCACTCCTCCAGAGATCCTCACGGTTCGCTGGGTCGTTTCCACCAGTGTATGCCTGCTCGGTACCACCATAGAGAATGGGGATACCACGGGAAAGCATGGTGAAGGCAAGGGCGTTCTTGAGGAGAGTCCAGTCAGAGTTGATACTCAGGAAGCGCTGCACATCGTGGTTGTCGATGAACATTCCGAGAAGCTCGGGACGGGCGAAGTTGTTACTGACGCTGTTGTGCTGGTCGACGAGGGGCTGGAAGCTGGCCTTGCGGGCGTAGGCATCTGTGATGACATAGTACATGGGGAAGTTGACGAGCGAGGACATGTAGTTCTGGTAAGGTCCTACATATGCGGGGTCACCCTGGTAGACTTCCCCGATGCTGAAGACACCAGCAGCGCTGGTGAATCCTGACCAAAAGTCCTTCTCGACGTGCTTGACGGTGTCAAGACGGAGCCCATCGATCTGGTAGGTCGAGACCAAGTTCTTGATCCATGACTGGAAGATTGAGCGCACATTGGAGTCCTCAGTCTTGATATCAGGGAGACCGGCGATACGGCAGTACTCGACATTGGCTTGGTTGCTGTAATCGGTGATGTCACAGTTTGTGTGGTAGTAGCCATCGTTGTTGAAGGGGTTGAATGTGGTGACGTCTCCAGCACCCATGTGGTTGGCGACAATGTCAACCATGATGTACATCCCCTTGTTGTGCGCAGCCGTGATCAGTGAGGTCAGGTCAGCGGCAGAACCATAGTTGGTGTTGACCGAGTAGAGGTCCTTTGCCCAGTAGCCGTGGTATCCGCCATCAGTGTCTAAGTGCAGCGGATTGTGGTTAGAATCATATCTAATTTGTATATTATTATTACCGGGGGTGCGGAGAGGAGGGGGTTTGAATTACTGGCAACGATAGGAGTGATCCAGATGGCATCAAATCCGAGTCCCTTGATGTAGTCGAGTCTCTGCTCCATCCCCTTCCAGGTACCGCCGCAGTAAGAGCTCAGACTGCTGCAGGCGGTGGTGCTGGAACTGGAGGTCTTGGCAAATCTGTCCGTAAGAACCTAAATCATGCTGGTTAGTCATTGACCCTGTGGACGCATAGCTGTAGCTATTGGTTGGCGATTGGGGAACAAACAAAGTAGATGGATCTTGTCTTCCATGCTTCACTGTCCGCTGCGAGAACGACTGAAGGAGCGAGAAGGGCGCCGAGAAGGCACGCAAAGGTGTTGCGGAGGTTAACCATGTTGACAGTGGACTGACTGATCTGCTGAGATATGCGACCTGAGGCTTAAGGAATGTTCACCGTGATGATGATGAGGAATAGATACGATGAGAGGTATAGATGATTGACTTTATATATCTGCATCTTTTTGGCTCTGAAATGATCATTTCAAATTCGGTATCCAAGCACTGAAACGACAGGGGGGAGGACTTGGGGAGTTTTTTCTTTTTCCCTGCAAAGGTTAACCCCACACAACGTGGATTGCCCAGGGCAACATGGGGGAGTGCAATTAATTAATTGCACCCTGATCTCTTCAGCCCAGTCCCCAGCTCGCAATCCCGTAATGCATCATCAGCAGTACTGACCGAGGTATTTCCTCATTTCCGGCCGGCCTATAGCGAGTCTGCCCTGAACACTTGTGAAAAGGAACAACAATTAACCGGCCGGCCGTTTGACTTCCGTTGCTGGGGGTGGCTAGTGGTGAATCGTGAAGAATTTTTGGGGCTAATATCAGAGTGTTCAGGTTGTAGAACCAACATCATTCGGTAACGGTCGAAAGTGGTGCCTTTGATGGGGGAGCAAATGGTGTAAATCATGTCCCGGTTGCACCAATGGCCTAATCGGGACCAGGTTGTAGTAGTAAGCACGCCTGGAACAATTAGAATAAACTAGGAATATTAGCCAATGATCCCTGAAACCAGTATCACTACCACCAAATTAAGGCCCAAATAGTAGAAACCCCACCCCCGCCCTCTCATTCCGGGGAAGAAAGCTAATGGCGTGGGTCGAGTGGTACAAATATTAGAATAACCATATCCCTCCGACATCCGACACCCATCCCTGCAGTCTCTCGGCCGTCCTGCTGAGTCCTTGGGCGAGTCTTGCTCACCAACGGGAGTCTTCCCGGAAATACCGCCGTCTTTAAACCATTCCCCTCGCCGGAGACTCAGCGGCATCCCGGACGGTGGTGGCAGCGTTCCTGTTCCTGGGTGCCGATGCCGGTCCATGTCTTGTCCTCTAGTTTAATGTGGAGTATTTGCGCAATTAGGGGTAGAGGCGGGGCATTGCATAGGCGTAAGCTGGGGTAGCCTGGTTTACTCTAATTTAGATTGCATTGTTATTCGCACGTGTAAAAGAAGCGCATGGGGAATTTCCAAAAGAACCAAGCGAGATGGGCCCGGGGCTGAACATGATGAAGGTTTATCCTCACGATGTTTCCCGCCCCAAAGGCGTGGGTAGATAAAGACCTCTGGAGATCTCTTTTTGCTACAACCTACACTGCCGCCCTCTCTCCCTGATCTCCCCCCCCTCTGATTAAGATCGATTGCAACTTTCATTTTCGGCCATCATGAAGTTCCACGCCCTCTTTACGCTCCTCAGCGCGCTACTTCTTTCCTACACATGCGCGGCAACCTCCTCCCCAGCAGCGCATCTTGAGAAGCGTGCAACTCAGGTCTCTGTCACTAGCTACACCTTCACCAACAATGTCCTTGCTGGTTCCATCAAGGTGCGTATACCACCTGGTCAATCAACGCATGCATTCTTGCAGAAATTGACAATATGATACCAGATCCAAAACCTCGCCTACACCAAGGTCGTAACTGTTGTCTACGCCGTCGGTAGCACGTGGACAAGCTCTCAGGCCTTCGCGGCCACCTACAGCAGTGGCCCAGCATCTGACGGCTATGAGGTGTGGACCTTCTCTGGAACTGCGGTGGGCGCAACCCAGTTCTACGTCAAGTACGACGTTAGTGGTACTTCGTAAGTTCTCCCAATGCGTCCTTCTTTCACCCCCTGTTGCATGAAGTTGTAGACAATATGTTTGCTGACAACACTGTAATTGTAAAGTTACTATGATCCTGGGAACAATGTGAACTACCAGATCTCGGCGACAACATCATCGACTACTACCAGTGCAGCCCAATGCACGGTGACGGTTACAACCACGATGCCTTTGGCGTTGATGCCAAGAATGGCTGAGCCGACGGGATTCTTTTAAATATATCCAGTCAGCACTGTAGGATGTAATGGGTAGAGACGAGTAGTTGTGGTCAGGGAGAAAGAGAGAGAGGATTTCCGGGTGTTTGGTGATGTTTGAGAGAGCGTAGAAAAATAGCAAATAAATGTTGTTTCGGTTATCCTGGCTAGTACTCCGAATGGTATGGGCCTCGTGGTTCCCACAAATATATGTTACGAGGTCACTTGGTCCCGCTAGTGTAGTGCTCTGTTACATTCTGGCCAGTCACAGAAACACGTTGGGAGCCGTAATTCAGAGTACTGCATCGGTGTATGTGTAATTAAAGTACTGTAACATACATCACATCACAAGAAAACATGTATATATGTACCTGTGAGAACAAGCGATGGGTCGCCTTCATGAGTTCAACTGGATAAGTGAATACATACAAAGTGTGGAAAGTGTGCCATCATCCTGGGGCTGGCATTACATACCAAACGCCGTTGTGAGTATTCTGGGTTTGTTTATCATTGATTTGGTGGAGAATGGACGTATCGGCGGTGGAATATACTTGTAAGTACTTGTATCTATGAACACATATTATAATTACATGTAAGTACATACATATGTATGTAGTTGTATGAAGAAATGTTAGCTATATGAAAGAGTGCACCTGATCAGCTGCACCTGGGGGTATATTGAGTCCAGAATTAAAGGGTTAGACGAGGTGACGGGGTACGTACTTTATAATGATGTAATGAGCCGTAGATGCAGGTACAGCCGCCTCTCGTTATAGTGATACTGCATATAGTGATATTCGCGTTATAAGGATGACACCTGCCGGTCCCAATTTTCTAGTATGGGGTTTAGTGATTTTTTTATATAAGGATATCACTAGGTATTTAGTGATTTGTATGGGTATCCTTATAACAAGAGTAAATTTGGGTGTGGCGAGCAACCCAGAAAGGGGGGAGGGCCAGCATTTTCAGGCATTTTACGTGACAAAACGCCTGGAAACAAGACTAAAATACAAACGAGACTGTACATGTACTTAAACAGTGACATGTCTATACCCTAAGAATCGCTGTCAATTTAGACTATTTTTCTTTCCAGCCTCGATCCCAAAAAAACCTAACCCTCATTCTGTATAGTGATAACCTCGATATAAGGATACCGTTTTTCGGTCCCGACCCCATCACTATAACGAGAGGCGGCTGTACATACAAGTACACCGCGAGAAATCTGACTCTTCCGTGTTACTTACAACATGGACCTACATCATAGCTTGCGTGAAGTTATTGCATGTTATCGATAAGTATGTAGTAAGCAATTTGAGCATCCACAGTCGACTGCATGCTTCCGACAAGCATATCTAATAAGTATATAATTATATGTAATGTGCTTTTATAGTCTTCTGATTGGTTCATTGAGAGATATTTTTGTTTCACTTGAAACATGTTGTGTTGGATATTAACATAGGGTATTAATTGTGCTGAGTGTTGTTAGAGTGTTAATAAGGTTTCTACTGATTCTGGGAATCGATTAGTAGTTCTATTTTAGCGGATTGGTGGCTGTTAAAGGGATATACCTGTAGTTTTAACTGGAGAAATTGTCTGACCTATCCGTTGATATGTTGGGGATATCAGAAAAGGCACATATTGACCAGAGCAGATCTAGATATAATGATGTACTTTGCCTGCTAGGTAAATAGAGAAATAAGCCGCAAAGCAGCTTGCCTGTATATTAGACTGATTGATATACATATAGTACCGGCCGAAGGCCGGAAACTACTTGTATACTCTATATATATATCCTAGTGCCTGGAATTGCATCATCCCGTATAAGTATGTACAACTCTACATACATGTATGTATCCCTGGGCAGTGGGGGTACGTAGAGGTTCTAGGACTTGGCTGTATGTTTGAGCTTAAGTTTACAATTAAGGTCTCCATGATCAGCAGGCACATATAGAGTAGTGCCTGCTAATAATGGACGTGGTCAGTATTTGTGCTGGGGGCTACTAAGATTGGAGAATACGATCCTCAGCCGAGACTAAGGGTTAGGTACGGGGGCATTTACGGGCCACTTCGCCAAACACTTCAACACCCTGTAAGACCGTCATTTAAAGCCATATAATAACGAAATATAATATACTTTCAGCTTTATTATATCTGTTCAATCTTTTCTCTTTTCTTTTGTTTTTACCTCGGTGGTGAGGTTTCAAGTTTTTGATAGTTGTAGGTAAAAATCCCTACTGACCGGTAATAGCGCCTCTACACCCGATAAATATTTGTATGTGATCTCACTGAGCACGGAAAGAGAGTATATCACAGCACCGAGTGCACAGCCATGTCCAGTTGCTATGAGATCATGAGTTGAGGGGGGGGGAAAGATTTAATTTAATTGCTGCATAAGTCATCGGGGAGCTTAATAATAAGCAAATATATACATATGTAGATCTCGATGTTATTAATGATACATAGTGGCTGTTGCCTGAGCTTCAGAGGCGGTAATACTCTGTAAACCTTTTTGGCGAAGGTCTCTATGACTACCCCCATAGTACTAGTTAGGGCTATTCAGACATGTTTTAATATATAAAGAAAAAGTCAAAACTGTGGCAGGTCTTAGGGTGAGTACTGCAGCAATACATGTAGTTCACAGTTGCGGTCACAGACCATCAGCCACGAAGCCCGCCTGTGGTGTCCGTCTCTCTCTACATATATATAAGGGTCCTATTTCGTATTTAAAATAACTAATTAAAGCAAGTACAGTACCGCAATGATAGCAGGTGCCCCTCTTCACGCCACAAAACAATATCCGACGACAATGCCAAGACGCCGTTACATCAAGTCTTCTGGCTTTATCATTCCTCTATACTATTCTACTCCCGGACAATTAAACCTCCTTCGCGTTCGTATTTGTTTTTTCACATTTCTTGGGTTCAGGGTCTACGGTTGGTATTGGAAGGAAGCCCCCGTTACAAAACCAAAATTACGCATTCGTATATCACTTATATATAAGAATAGTTCTATGGTATATAGTTTTGTTTCTTTATCTTCTGTAGCCTGGCCGACTTGAAAAATTAGCTCAAGATTTTTCTAGTTTAAAGCTGTTATAAGTAAAAAAAAAACCTTAACCCAAGTAGTATTTCTTCCTATGAAGAGATCTAGAAGACCGCCTTTATGCGAGGACTAATATAGGTTAGTTAACCCCTAAAGCTCAAGCAGCTTGTGCTACACCGGAGTATTAAGAAGTCGGGTTAAATTGAGTGCTGTTATAACGAATTAAGCTTTGCTTTTCCTCGTTTTTGACTTAAGCCGCCTAGTCGACCACACGAGCAAGCACCTCTCAGAAATCGTTGTCCCTGATCCAAGTACTCCATTATGTACTTGTAATATCCTAAGAAAACAAATATTTATGAACTACAACACGCACCCGATAAAAGGTTTAATTCGTAAACTCTTCGCAACCGGTATTGCTTTACATTGAAGATAGGTTCGATTAATTCCGGGAAAACTTAACCCACACGTACACCGGCTTGGTCGCTGATCATGACTCCCTAGAAATCACCCACAACTCTTTTCGGTAGCGCAGATAGAAGTAGTACTGACAAGTAGCTGTTGCAGTTGCGAAATTTCAACGGCATTGAAAGGCGCTTAGCCATGTTACCGAAAGCTGGTAGTGGCCGTTTCGAAGGAAAATGTAGAGTATGCTAAATTCTGTACACATAATTATATAAGTACCCCTTCTGGTATTTTGATTCCTTACCATGTATGCAGGCCTACAGGCTGGTGGTTCTACACGTGACTTATGATAAGAGATACCTAATCCCGTGATTTCAAAAGATCTTGTCGGGGGCCCTTGTCTTCTCATGCACGCAATCGGAGTACTGTGGTTGGGAACATGGTTAAATGCGGGGAACAATGCTCTTGTAATTCATTGTCTGGATGGGGTATCCTAGTAATTCGCGCCACTTTATAAATTATTAATCCCTACGGGTGGCGTATAAATTGATCGGAGGTGTGCTGCCAATAATTACACTCATGCTAGAGGGATCTTCTGTAAAGTTTACGAATAGGTAACTCTTAGTGGCGACCCGACTTTCTTTGGGCCGGAACCATAGTCCGAGTATCATGTGAATCCGTTCAATTGCAATTGTAGGACATTCTATTCTCCCCTCTGTTGGCGCAGATAAATTGGACCTAGATACATGCTACAGACAACCTTCCCCCCTCCAAAAAGCTACTCGTTCAATCATCACTCTAGTCAACACAGTCTCGTTAGTTGATCTACTGCATTGAACAATTCTTCGTCATGGCTGATGCCCTTGAATCCGCTGTGAAGAGCCTTGAGAATATCGCAGCCCTAGTTACCGGGGCACAGGTGTCGAAACCTCTCACCTCCAGCGATCTCTTGCGACCACTTACCGGCCCAGGCCGAATCGTCACGAACCTATCGCCACGGCCACCAAACTCACCGAACGGCACCAGATCAGCCTCTACTACTGCCGTGAGTAAGCTCCAGAGCCAGAACGCATCTCTGATTTCAACAAACAACCAACTGAAGAATGAGACCGCGAAAATCAAGAAGGGGCTGCTGGAAGCCTACAAGAGTTTAACTGAAGCAAAGAAAGGACTGGTGATCCTTACTAGGGATCTTTCAAACACGAAGAATGAGTTGTTGAAGGCGAAGGCGGCAAACGATGAACTTGCGGACGCCTTGGAAAGCAGACGTAAGACACTATGCATATATACTCCATCACGTTGTGATACGAGATCAGCTAGTAGTAATACTGATACTGATACTGCGATAGCGACTTCCTCTCGGCCAAGATCCACACAGAACCCCGTGATTAGTAGTTTCAATACCAAGAACGTGAGGCCTGACACCGTCCCAGTTGAGAAAACGTCCAAGCAAGTCACGTTTGCCAAGTCATATAAAGCACCCCCGAGTATGGCGATCGGACTGTACGCTCTCGACGTCGCCATCGGGGATACCACGCGGATCTCGGCCTTCATAAGCAACCTTGAAAACGACAGTTTCGATGTCAACATTGATGGCAATCCGGTGAACTCGGGCGGTTGCATCTGGCTTGAAATTGAACCAGATCATCAAGACTTCCAATGCGGGCGGTATAGCACCCTTGAAGACCATCCTTGGAGCACTTCAGAGGCAACCCACGAGCGTCGAATCTCGTTTGTGAGACCATACGATGAACCACCTGAGGTGGTTGTCTGGTTGAGCGCCTTCAATATGCATCCGGAAAAGAATTGGCGTGTCAAATCATTCGCATCAGATGTCACCACCACAGGATTCACGATTCACATCGAAACATGGGGCGATAGCGAGTTGTTTGCCGCCGCGGCTAGCTGGATCGCCTATCCTAGGGAAAAGGCAGATATCTGCAGCGGCAGCTTCAGCACAATGGATGTACGCTCATGGGACAATCCAAGGCCAAATACGTCCGGCCCGGTAGAATTCGCAGCGGATATGTTTTCGACCACACCAAGGGTTGTTCTAGGAATTAATAGCTTGGATGCGGGATGCGATGGGGGTCTTAGACTCGAGTTGATGGGGACAGATGTTTCTTCGAAGGGTATGACTTGGAATCTGAACTCATGGAAAGATACTACCATGTACTCGGCCGGTGGAACATATGTAGCCCTTATGTGAGGGATAAACGTTTCTCTATCTTAGGTTACGTGGTCTGCAGTGCTGGAAATGTATGGTCGGAGGCGCGAGTGCTCTCGAGTGGGGGAGAATTGGGTTACAATGCATTTCCATTTTCTCTTTTCATAGGAAAAGCGGTGACTTGCCACTAACCTCTGTAGTCATTATGGCTCATGAAACATCACAGGATATGCGTATATGACAGGCTCCTGATGATTCACCGTGAACCATGTACGAAATTACGAACACTACAGCAGGAGGACTAACATGCCGTACCACGGCAGGATCTATCAAGAGTTAGATGAAATGATCAGAACCAGCGCCTAGTGTGAAATCGTGAGGAGCCAGGTGTTCTTATAGTTGTTAGTATTGTGGGTTGAGAAAGCTTCTCGTGATTTTCGCATAGCAACCAGGTGAAATGCCAGAAACTTTAACCCACAAAGTGGATAACTGAAATTTATGTCTAATAAGTATTTTATATCAATCTTCAGCTTTTTCAACATATAACTATCTCCTCCGCTTCATGCCCCATCCTTGTGCAAAACCACGAGAACTTTTATCAACCCACTATTTAATATCAACGCTTCCACATCTGGTTGAATAACGCAATTGAGATTAGCCTGACGGTGTAAGGGATACTAGATGTACATGTACTATTGGTGACGATTCTGTAGTAGGTCGGGCTATATAAACAAGATCGTTTCATATATGTATCTGCAGATCTCCATATATGTCAGATATCACTAATTTGCATGGGATATCACTCGGTACTTGGATGTACCTACATATGGGGTGTCTATATATGTATATATGTACATCGTATCATCATCAATCTCGAGAGAACGGCAGACTCAATTTATCACAAAATGTCATCGCGAACCGACTCGATTGTGAAAGGGCTAAGACGAAAGCTCGGTGGCCTCAGAACACTAGGAGGATCAAAAGCGCGCAGTGTTTCTCCCGCGACTGCCAGTACTACTAGTATAGTCATTCCCAGCCGCCTATAGCTAACGTTAACAGTACTTCCGCAGTGACCGCGCATCCCATCCCGACAGACGTTTACCGGTAAATATATACTTGCACCTAGTACATGTGTTCACAAGGGAAGATGTATGTTTGATTCGGTCGCTGATCGTCCTTCCCTCGTCGACGTGCTTGGACATCAATATTATCGGCAGCAATTGTACCCGATCCCAACGTCAACGGTACAGTCATGGTTAGGGTTCCCACCAAGACGACAGTCATACACCCAACGAAGGATGCAAGCTTCATCTTTCAGGAGGCTGTCGAGAGGTACAAACGGAAATTAGGAACGGGCGACAAACAATATCTGCTGAGCGTAGGTGCCTCTTATTAAGGCGTTGTTGGAATCCGACATTCACTGGTGGAGACCCGTTATGCTCCATCGATGGGTTGTGTTGCTGGTTTAGAGTCTGGACAGGTGCCTTTTGTAATTTGCGTGGGAATTGGTGTAAGTATGTTGGATGTATACAAGTAAATATATCATGATCAAGACCAGAATGATATAGTGAGGTCCATGAGCCGACCCGGCTCGAGCTCAGCGAGCCCCACCCTCCAGCGAGCCTGAGCCAGCTTGAGCCGTTTTCCCTAAGGCTCGAGCTTAGGCTCGAGCTTGATCTCAAGCTCAGTTTACTCGCTCTGAACTAGGCTCTAGAAGCCATCAAGGAAGCCAGGAGGGGATTTATGCTCACTAGAATGCTGAGTTAAATAATAAATCCTTTCTCGCGGTATTACTCCATGAAATGAAGCTTATATCTGCCATTTTACTACACTTAGTGTAAGAATAACCTGTTTTTTTCATCATTGACTACCGGCTCGAGCCAATTTATGAGCCTGTCACCAAAGCTCGAGCCTTGCGAGCCTCTGCCTCTCACGAGCCGAGCCAGCTCGAGCTTATATGCCGGCTCACTCATGGACCACACTAGAATGATATTCTGCCCGTTGTCGACGCGGAAGTCTACAGTTACAGGAGCGATCAAGAGAACAAAGCTACAATGTTGATGAAGATGGCGGTTGCGCTCGAGATTGCAGAGGAGGAAGCATTTTGGAATCTGCTGTTGCCATTTACAGTTGAGTATAAGATGTACCCGGGGGTGCCGGAAAGTGATGCAACGATCAAATAGTCTATATTCCTCAACAACCAAACTAGCTAACAGAATCTAGAGCGAACCCATGGTAATTTAGAAGCTGGAGATACTAGTTATGGTAAAAGTAAATATGAATAGCCATTGCTTCTCCTTTTATTACTGTCTCTTGTCACAAGTTGTTCTTCTAATTTTGCAGGCTAAATACCCCAAGTCAATGACTTGAAAAAACATGCAGACTCTATTCTAGAGACTCATGTATCATGTATATGACTAAAATATCTATCTTGTTTAAGTATTGTGTTGAGTTAAAAATCGAAATTCTGAGTGCCTTTCCGCATTGCTAGGTCAAACGTTGCATCACTTTCCGGCACCCCCGGGTACAGCTCATTGCAGCAACTACTCAACCAAGAAAAGATACGCCCTGGGGAGGTCAGATGACTGAGAAATTTTGGATAAAAAACAATATCGATATTCAGTACAGCGGTGGCTACGCTGCATCTCTTCTCCAGCTTGTGGTATTTTAGGGAGAAAGGATTTGACAGAAAAGCTGATATCGATCGGTGCTGGTATTCATTGTGTCGGTCAGTTTTTTCATACCCTCCTGCAGGCACCGGTAGCGTCCGGGGATTTGGAGCTTGTCTTGGTGTTTTCTGGGGAGGTTGATGTTAATTCCGAGGGCGGTAAATATGGAACGGCTCTCCAAACGGCTCTTGCTCGTTATATCTTGGCGAAAAAATTCTATCATATCGTCAGGAAACAGATGTTACCTGTTATCAATCATCTGATCCTTAAGGGGGCACATGTTGACGCTAGGGTTGGTCGAATCAGAGATGGAACGGCATTTGAGCTATTTCGGTGGGGGGTGCCTCCGGGATCCTGAAGAGCAATTACGAAACCCTATTCAAGATCGAGAAGACGATACAGTGCTCTCTAACGCAGCACGCTTTGGGGATACCTGGTTTGTATCGCTTCTTAAAAACAATGTAGGCCCAAACACCACCAGCGGTGCGCTAGCTGGGATCTCCCCTCATCACTGCAGCATTTCGAGGAGAGTGTGAGATGGTGAGTTGTCTGCTGGAATACAACGTAGATATCTATGCGAGAGGCATGGTTTTTGGCTCTCCTCTCAAAGCAGCGGAAACCTCATACAAATAGTTTCAAGACTTAATACTGGAGACCAGATGCTGTGCCAGCGAGCTCAAGTATGAACAAGCAGCTGCCTTCGATCGACAAATTCCTTTGCTCGGATCCCGCTCGCGCGGAGGTTTTAAGCACGTTTGACTTGGACCATTTGGCGGAAGCGGAGCTGGTAGCGAGTAAGGTTGTGCGTAATCATAAGACGTTTCTTTCGATACTAAAGAACAGGAGCGACTTCGTAGAGGGACTCGGTCTCCAATCAAATACTTGTGAACCTGTTGATGGCGCATGATGAGGGAGATATTATATGTGGGAAGAGAGAGTTAGACGTGGGATGTTGACCGGGGTCAGGTATATACATTTAATATATTCATGGGATATAAATATGCATGTTGGGTATTAGTCGAGATTGGATTGACTGGGGGGGGGGGGGGGTGGGGGGTTCAGCCCAACTATTTCCAAATATAACGAGTGTTAGTTCCAAATTACTTTGTGCTGTCATGTGCTCTAACCGGCGTCATCACGATCCGGGGGTTAGTTGAGACTTATATATTCTCTGAGATTGTCAAGGATTTATCTGATGGTTTCAAAGAATTTGTTTATTTAAGTACTTATTTTAAATATGGGCACTCTAAGCTACGCTCGATGATTTAGTTGTCTCTACTGTTTATATACTTACTGAACGATATTGTAATAGTGGCTCTAAAGCTGCCGACACCGCATGTGTGTATTTGAATGAAGCGCCAGGCCTAGGGTGATATGGCTTCAAATATCAGCAGCCAACCCCTGGGTTCTCAAAACGACCACGTGCAAGTTTATCTTTTTTCCATTTCTCGCCCAATTTCCGTCCAACCACAGTGAGCATTGTCGCCGCCGTCATCGGTATAGTCAGCGCCGGATACCACCACCAGTTGCTACTAACGGAGAACCTGATATTTCCGTTGTCATCGGTGTCAGTATTGAAAAACCCCATACCGAAGATGCCCTGATATAAAAACGAGAGTGAAAGTTAGTATATATCAAGGAACCCGCTGTTGATAAATCTAGAAGCCTTACGCTAAATAATGAAGCCGGAAGGAAGATCATCGTGAGGATCTGTATTGTACGAAGTGACTGTCCATCTTCATGGCTTGATCGTGCAATCTTCGTACTCTCTTTGGCCATCTTAATATTTATCTCGGCGTCTCGCTGGTTGATCAACGCAAAACACTACCAGTGGTTATATCAGCAAGGACGGATATATATATATATGCATGACTATTCAACATAGGAGATATACCTCATTAATGGCGAGTTGTGTTCTAGTCTTGTATAGCTCTGCATATGATTTGAGAAGCTGAAGCTCGGAGAGATAGACGTCCCAAACATCTTTGAAGCCGGTGTTGTCTACATCAGCCGTCGAGTCTCCCGTTTCCAAGTGACGATCGTCAGACTGAGCGGCGATCCATTCGTGCTCAGTCTTGAGGTGATGGAGAGCAGGACCGAGAATATCGTAGTCGGTAGCTACTTGGGTGATCTGGCGTGCGAGTGTTAGGAAAACCCGAGTCCGAGCTGTGAAGTCGGATGTAGTGCCATTTTCATCCACTTTCCTCTCCTATTTAATAATGCAAGGTTAGAGTCATCCATTAGGTGGCAGCATAGAAAATATGCCTGGGCATCACAGGACTCATTACCCACTCATATATAGGATCGGCCCAGGTCTCTGTGAACTTATCTGCTTTCTGCAAGGAATTTTGCGCAAAGAATGCATTAAGCAACATCGGCTGACGCATCACAAGTTCTCCTTTATCACTGAAACCGTCTATAAGCTCGGTTTTCATATCTTTGGGACACCTCAGCACCAGCATGATCGTGGTTCCAGCAGATAAGTTGCGGCCCACCCAGACACAGAGACGCTTCCAGCCTAATACTGATTTGGATGAGTCCAAGCACGTGATGCTTTCACCGGAACGGAGGATAGCCGAGTACCAAAACTCTACAGGTTTCAAGATGATTAGTATTTCAAGATTCTCTCGGGCAATGGCCCACAAGACTGGGGCTCTCACGGTGGTGGATGGGTTTCTGGGTGATGGAATCATACTGCACAACGCGGCCAGGCATGTGCTGCCGCTCCAAAAGCCTCGCTACCCGAGATGAGATGCAGTATGTTTGAAATATGGCCTGTAGAAGCTCGGAAGTGCACTGAAGACGGTCTAGGTCTTCCTGGGCCTCATCGATAAATCTATATTATACTGTGAGATCCTAGTATTAAATTTATGGTGGACAAGAGTAGTTACAGTATTCGAGTATGCACCATATCCTCTGGCGTCGCTTCCGTGTCTGCGTATGCCTCCTATCCATCACATGGAGTATAAGTTTAACAAACTCTAAGCATTATGTGGTAGTTGGATAGGGTAAACAAGCCTCTAGCATATCAAAAATCTGCCTATCACCGAGGTTGTGCCGCATCACTTCCATATTATTAATGTAAACACTTCAAATATTTTTGAATTCAGCATTTTTTACCTCCGTAGGCCCCCCGCATATCAAAGACGTCTGCGGTTGAAGATGCTGAGAACCAGCGATCATTTCCGAATGCTTTCTTTGCATCAGGGGTACATAAAATATCGTGTACTTTGTAGCAATCGGCTTCTCTTTCATGGGGTGGTGTGAAAGTCTTTGCTTTGGCCATTTGGCTTTGTCGAGAGCGGCGGGTGAGTAGTTTAGATACAGAGTTGTATAATATTGAGATCGTAGTTTGTGTAAATAGCGAATTAAGGAATGCTGGAGAAGAATGGGGATATCCTGAGAGATTTCATAAGGATTTAACGAATTCAGAAACCCAATCTTATGCTGGTCTCCATACTCAAACCTACCCGCCCACCGGCTTACATAGCGGCTACGGGACGGCCCGTTTTATTTAGGCAACATATATGGGATGCATGATTGGGTCCGCCTCTTCAAGAGGACTTGACATATATGTATAGCGTGGTGCTTAATTGTGTCTCGGAGTACGCCGTCGAGTGGGTTGCCTGATTCTTTTTAGCCAGCATGAATTAGCTTAGCCTGCTCTCAAACAAATGCACGTACATATGCGGACAGAACCTTAGATGTTGTCTCAGCTGGTGGTTGGCTTATCGCTTTTTTCGTATGTCTATATATGCTCATATATGTATGGTTTTAAACTAAGTTCACTAGATGAGTTGTGCTAGAATCTTCACCTTCTTTCTTTCCGGGAGCTGTATTAATTCCGCTGCTGTGATGTTAGTATGATGTCCTCCGGCTTTCCTTCATAAGCCGGATCTCATTGGTAGTAACCTTCCCTTTTACCACAATCTTGAAGTATCTAGTTGCGCATACCGTTCGAGAGGAGAGTATAGGCGATATTGCAATGGTCAACGTACCCCAGGAGTTCCGTAGTGATATATACATTGTATCCCTAGCTTATGCTGTACGATTGGGCGTAGAGTTTCTTGATTTATTCTGGGAGCCGGACTCGGCCACTTAAATACTACAGGACAAAAAAATAGAGTGAATAGTACAAAAACTAGTACGGACAATAGTAGAAAGGATTAAAAGAAGAAATTGAGTGGCTAGTAAACGAAAAAACAAGCTAGATTGCACTTGGTTTGGCGATGCTGCCCACCCTATCTATTTCTATTATGTACTGGATTAACGATTTTTCGAAACTCTCTGCCATCTGATTGGTCAAGAGCCGTTGCCATTGACTCCTGCATGGCAACCAGTCCACCCGACATTGCCAGTGAGCAACGAAGCTCTACGGTTCACGCCCTGATATTTAAAAAGATCTCTGTATAATTTTATTTATTTAAAAAGGTCTATGCATAATTATAATATAACCAATTTAATGATATGATATGATATGTCTGGGAGTGTTGGGAGGAGGAAGTGAAGGAGGTGGACGAGGTAGATGAGGTGGACGAGGTGGAATAGGTGGAAGAGTAGCATGTGGAGATGTGGTGGAGGGCAGCGGTGTGGAGTGAGAGGGGGAGGTATTGAGTTGGAAGGGGGGTAGGGGTGGAAGGAGTTCCCTCCATCGAATACTTTTAATATTCATATATATTTAATACTCATAATCCAACGTTAACAGCTCGCGACGCGAGTTGGCACACCCCTAGTAATACAAGAACGACATTTCTATGGGAGATGTATTATTTGGTAAGAGGGATAACAGGATCTGTTGATAAGGCTATACATAGAATATTTTCTCTTTTTTGGTTGGCAACATTTTGCGCTAGACGAAGGGATAAGTTATTCCAGGCCATATCAAACGCTGCATGAGTTGTGTAACGTTGGGTAATGCTGGAACACGGCGAAGTATATTGATAGCTGGCAAAGGCGTACCAAGTTCTTAGCGGATATCCGTGGATCTTTCCTAGCAGTGTGTATAATGAATCCTGGCCTCCAAAAAAGTCACGTTTCAGTACCATGAGCGCCTGGTGATATATGTTGCACCTTTCTAAACAACGATGAACGCTTGAACTATTTGCAATTAAACGCCAACAGCTCCGATATATATACCCCATACTACGGGCCAGGTCATGTTACAGGAACTACGGAACACTGTTCTAAAAGGTTTAGAACAGGGAGGAATACGAGTGACGGGTTGTGATGCGAGGACGGTCGGGTAACGGAAGGACAAGCATAGAAAGGTATCGGGTAGTGTGGGGGCATGTGGTGTTACCACACTAGTACTATACTGTTATGACGGCACGCTTACTATTGGGTGTCTCACCCGGAATAGAATAGGAAGCGGGGCTTACGGCTGTAGGCTGTTCTACTTAGAGAAGTAGGTCTAGGATAATAGTATGGTACAGCCCGATGACTGGCAATTGCAAGGTTCATGGTTACGTGTCGGAATTAGAATGGAGGACGGGACTATGCGGGGGCGCTTTTCTATCTGGGTTATCTTCGGGAGCAGTATCTTATTCTATTATCGTTGTGTCAGTTAGCATTAGGAAGCGGGCCTTGGCATAGGTTCCAACATGTATAAATAGGGCTTGATTCTGCGAAGACTTGAGGGTATCATCAACCATCAAGTCAAGGGAATCCGGTTTACAATATCATCAGTTTAAACGCTACAGAATTATCGCTTAGCACTAGCCATTTTCCTTAACACTATATTGTGCCTTATCCCTAACTTTACTCTTTACCTATCGCATACCCTACCAAAGTCTCGATAAGACAACTACTCGCTTAAACCAATACTCTGAGTATTTTGCTTAGTGGCGGATAGTCACCGTGCTCTCAGTAGAAGAATAAGCGCTTAGTCTATTAGAAAAGACCAAGGTACTATATGCACCCCCGAGTGGCAACAGCAGCCATCAACAACTACCTTTGCGCTACCTCCTTCATCGTTCGAAGAGGAAGCGCCGAACATCTATACTGCGGATACCTCTACTATACAGGTTTCTTCGCAGAAGCAGGGACCACCGCTACCTTCGAGGAACACGATCCCGAAATCCTCAACTACCCAGAACTCTTCCCGATCAAGATCACTCTCTCCCAACGGTCTTTCGGACTTGCTCATCCAGCCCCCTGGTTCATTGCTCAACCCTGGTGCAGAAGGCATCCACAGCTCAAAATCGAGCAACTTAGCAATGTCAAGGGCTCATCAGCAACGGTCGGAGGAAGACTACAACATGGAGAGCTCAATCGCCTTGAGAGATCGAGGTATATTGGAAACCCAGGCGAAGAGGCGCCACAGGAAAGAGAGAGATGTGCCGATAGGCTCCCTCTTCGCATCGACAAGGCAGGAAGAATCATATGGGCAGGCGAGGAGGCGGCAGGCAGACCATCGGGAGTTCTCCCCATACGTCACCCCCATCAGAGAGAGATCCTCTACTCAGAGGCCCTCGGTGCCTCGGGTAATGGACGACGACGAGGACACCAATATGGACGTAGAGGAACGCCGGGTGGAGAACCCTTTCGGCGACCTTATTGGGCAAGAAGTCCAGCGACAAGGGGCCCCCGTGGTACAACAGCTCAGCCGCGGGATCGAGGAACTCAGCATGCACGTGCGGGATATTCCTATCCTCAGGGAACTCACCCGTCAGCAGCAGGAGTACACCAACAAGATCGTCGAGGACCTCCACACCAAGTTCGCTGGCGACAGAGCCGAGCGCGACAATCAGCTCAACCAGGTCATGGCTCAGCTACGAGCGGAATCCTCCGCCGCTACCAGCAACCTCGGCCAAGTCCTTGGGCAAATCGTGGAAGCTACTAGGGCGCATCAGGAAAGGCAGGAGCGACAGGATCAGCACATAAATGCGCTGACCAGCTTCGTTCAACAACTCCCGAAAGATGGCCCTGTGCAGATACCCGCGGAAGTTATGGCTGCCCTCGAGAGGATGGAACGGGATAGACAAGCTGCGATGGAAGACCAGTTCGCAGGTACAAAGAAGAACCTGGAGGAGATTATTGAGCAGATGCGGGTAGCCGCCAATAGAACGGCAGCGGCCCCCGAAGGCTCAGGAGGCGGAGGCGTAGTACCCCCCCAACCCCCTCAGAACCCCCCTAGCAATTCCGGAGAGAGACCGGAAGGATCAGGGAGCCAACCCCCCGTACCCCCTCGCTCCGAGGCAAGAAGCCAGCAAAGTGAACAAGGAGGCAGGGGAGGCAATGGCAATAACGGCAACGGCGGAACCCGCGCAAGACCACGAGACCCATCCCCCTCAGACTCATCCAGCTCCTCCGATTCAGAGGACGATCGTCGCGCACGCGAACGAAGGCAGAGAAGACGGGAGGAGCGGAGGCGCCGTAATAGGCAGCAAGAGGTAGAGCTCATGCACCCCCCTCGCGCCACCCTGGGTGATACGCCAAAACAGGCAAAGATCCCCTTCTCCGGGAAAGCCGACGAAGACGTACGACACTGGATCGACCAAATGGAAGTCTTAATTGAACTTCAGAGGAAGGTCAGGTGGGACGACCAGACCAAGATCCTATGGGCATCCCTGGAACTTACCGGAAGCGCGGCAAAATTCTGGCGAAACTTCGTGGAGCGACTATCGGTTGACCCCAGCATCGGGACATGGGAGAATTTCAAAAACGAATTACGGATTCAATACGGCAATCGGACCAGTCAGGAACAGGCCAAGCAGAAGATGGATAAGCTCCGTCAAACTGGCATGATTGATGACTACATCAACGAGATGCAGAATCTGGAATGGGACGCGAAAGTCGGACCCATCGTAATGAAATCCATGATCCTAACAGGAATAAACTCCTCGCTGGAACAACGCCTCTCGAATGCGATCGAGGAACCAGAAGATTTCGCGGAATGGCTAGCTTGGGTTAGGAAGGTCGGACGAAAGGATCACGAGGTAAAGGCCCGGAAAGAAATCTTACGTGGCAAAGATGTCGTGAAACCTCGTGAGGAGAAGTCGGAACGGCGAAAATCGCGCAACCCCGCACCTCGGAAAACTTTCTCCGCGCCAGCACACAACTCCAAGGCCTCGGATGACTTAGGTGTCACCAAGGACGAAAAAGAGAAGTGGCAAAAGGAAGGAAAGTGTTTCCGTTGTGGTAGAGATAACCACTTCGCGAAAGATTGCATGGCGACGAGTAAGGTCAGGTTAACCGACCTGAAGAGGAAACGTTATCCTTCCGGAGGAAAGGACCACGGAAGGGAGGGTGAAAAGAAGCGGAAATTGGGCCCCCAGAATGAGGCAT